GGTGTACACTGGACGTGACCATTAGTGGAGAGTTTTGGGCACGAAAGTTTGCTAGTAGTATAGTCCCATATATGTTGAAAGCATAAACCTTTTAATACTGTTTTAAGTCGTTAAGCTCAATAATAATAAAATTCAAAAGAAAAAAGGGAAGAACAGACAGGTGCCAAACAGAGCTGATCATGCTGCATTTACTCTATACCTAAGAGCACTTTCCTGAATCTTCCATAATTGTAACCTCGAGTTCAGTTAATTTAAGCCACGATAGAGACAGGTGAGGTCATATACGTGGTAAGTGCTTCCCCCACTCCTTCCCCTTAGGAAAGGGGGCATATGTGAAATAATTTCTTCTTTGCCTAATAACCCTTGTCCTACCTTTTTATTTACTCTAAAATTCTTCCATTCTGTGCAAGCCCAAGTAGGCTTGCCTAGCCTCCAAGTTCCTGATCCTTTAATAAATCCAATTGGATCTTTGAAAATTATAAAATAAACAAGGGCACCTTAGTTTACATATCTTTATAGTCTTCACTCTCCCCCCACCATTTTAAATTGTTCTAAATGTGGTAGGTGTGTTTCACATAATGATAGAGAGGTTGAGTCAAAATAGGAACGAGGTTGGGAGGCCTGTATTAATCATATGCAGTACAGTTGTCTGCTTTGATTGGAATGCGCCACCATAGTCATTCAAGTAGTAGCATTTTTCTTGGTGACACTGGGAGAGTTTTTCTAATGCTGTTTTTCTTTGCTTTTTGTTTGCTTATTTTCTGTCAAGAAAGAAATGACTGAAAAGATAATCTCTCCTAAGTTATAAAAGGTGTTAGAATGGAGAAATAATGGAACACATTTTTCTTTTGGTAATCAGAGGTACCAGAGATCTCATATTGATCATTCACTTCAGTGGCAGCCACTTAATAAAACCGAAGTGTATTTCTTCAGCACAGGTATAATTGTATAAACACCTCCTGCTTTGTGACTGCCACAGTAAGATCTTAGTGCACTACAAAATATTATATTTCATGGTTAATTAAAATCAGATCTGCTTTTTAAGTAACTGCCCCTTTATATCAAACTCTAATTCTGTGATCCCTTTAAAAGATTAGAATATAATTGGGGCTGGAAGGATAGTACAGCAGGTAGGGCTTTTGCTTTGCATGTGACCAGCCTGGGTTTGAGCCCCAGCACCCCATATGGTCCCCAGTGCCTGCCAGGAGTGATCCCGGAGCACAGAACCAGGAGTAAGCCCTGAATAACAATGGGAGTAGACAAAAAACCAAAACCAAACAAACAAAAGGATTAGAATATAAATTTATATTGAACAGGAAAGTTGGTCCTTAATTTTCGACTTGGTTTTTAAGATACTTTTTTCTTTTTTTTTTTTCCTCAGATTTTTGAGTCTTCCCCCTCCTTTCCCACCCAGTCCATCCACCGACTCTAGTCCTTTTGAACGTCTGTGGCGTCTATATATATATATATATATCTTTTTAATTCCTAATGTTTGTCATTCATACTTTCTACCCCCACCCCTTTTTTTTACTTTGTTGGCCCTTTAGAGTTTATTGGTGTTACTAATTTTTCCGAAAGTTTTTATTGATTTTTAAAGTATTTTCTTTGTTTTTAATTATTTGGTTTCTGCTTTTTTCTTTGTTATTTTCTTTTTTTTATGTGATCTGGGTTGACTTTACTTTTGTTTTTCTAGTTTGTTGAAATGAAAGTATTATGGATTTAGATTTTCTTTCAGCATGTGAACGTTTGTTGCTATAAATTTCTTTTTAAGAGACTGGGAGGTAGTACAAAAGTTAAGGCACTTGGCTTGCACGTGGCTAACCCCAGTTTGATCCCCAGTACCTATATGATCCCCTAAGCACGGTCCCCTAAGCACCACCAGGAGTCATCCCTGAGCACAAAGCCAGGAGTAAACCCTGAAAACCAAGCCAAGTGTAAGTCCTTGAGCACTGGTCCGAGTAGCAGACAGATTTCTTTTTTCTTTTTCTTGTCTTTTAAAAAAAATTTTTTTTAATTGAGTCATTGTGCAATAGACCCTTACAAAGCTGTTCATGATTAGTTTTCAGTCGTACAGTGTTCCAACACCCATAACACCCATCCCTCCAACAGTGTCCCCAGGTTCCCTCCCATCTCCCATCCCCTCACCCCCAAGCCCTGCCTTTATGGCAGACACTTTTCTTCTCTCTCTCTCTCCCTCTCTCTCTCTCTCCCCCCCCTCTCCTTTTGGACAAACAAATTTCTTTTTAAGTGATTCTTTAGCTACATATCAAAGATTTTGGTTTGTTGTGCTTTATTTTCACATGATTTCAGTCTCATTCATTTGATTTTATTCAATTGGATGTTTAAAGTTTTCACTCGAGCAAGTTATTTTTAAATGTAAAGAAATTTACTCTATCGATTATTTTGAATTTAATTTCATATACCTTGTATGTTTTAAGTTAAGATAAATAATTTATGATGCAAAATATATGTTTTCTTAATGTGTATTCAGTTTCTCTTGAAAAGAATATATATGTGTGCAGATTTCTGTTGCTGGATGGATATTCTTTGTATGTCATTTTGTCCTGATGTTCAGTTTTTCTCTGTCCTGATGTTTTTTACCTAGTTATTCTGTCAGTTACTGAGAGATGGGTATAAAGTCTCTTGTTCTAATTTTGGATTTTTCACTTTTTATGTTCTGTCAATTTTTGAATTATATTTTTTAATGTATTTTTGTTAGGTACTTATTGTCCTCAGATTTGTTTTATTGCTTCAGACTCACAAAAGTCGTAATACCAAACCAAATATTAGAAAGGAAACTGTAAACCAGTGTTCCTCATGAGCATAGACTCCCCCAAAAAATCTTTTGTTATTCATTTTCTAAGTATTATATTTTATTCTTTTATTTTTAATTTAATTTTTATTAAGTAGTTTACAATATTTGATTACATTTAATATTCGAACACCAATACCTCCACCGTTACACGTTCTCACCACCATATTTTGGATGTTTCCATCTCGAACCCGCCCCAAAGCAGACCTGAAATAATTTATTTTGTTTTGTTTGTTATGAACAAATCACTGAAAACGCTCCAAAAAAAACTTTCCTTAGAGGAGAGTGTGTGAAGATTGTTGTATTTCACCAAGAGACCATTAAGCCCTTCTATAAGAGATTACTAAGAGGTTGTTTGGAATTGAGCTTTGTGTGCATACCTATGTATATACACACATATAGATGTATGTATACATATATATCTGTAAAAATATATTTCCCTTTAATATTGGTTGCCTTCTATTTTAAGCCCCATCAAATCGGTGTACTATTGGAGTATGAGTGGTGTAAAGTATGAGTTGTTGCGGAGCTGCAAATGCGGCCACACTGGCCAGGGATAGGTTTACTCATGGGTGAGGCTTGGTCCCAGTATGTGGAGAGTGGCTGTGAGTATGGTGGCGGTTGAGTTCCAGAGGTATCCAGGTGCCAAAGCTGGGTCCCTTGGGGTGAGGAGAGGCCTCACCCACCCCCCTCCGAGACCCCCAAATCCTAAATCAGTGTTTAGTGAACTAATTCAGCCACGTAATGCCTTATGCGTGAATTGGTTTACCTATGAATGTTCTTGCCTGGGACTTGACCAACCTGGGTTTCATCCCTGAGCCCCAGCAAGACTGATCCTTGAGTACAGAACCAGGAGTATGTCCTGAACTCTGCCGGGTCTGGCTCCAAAATCCAAGGGGGAAAAAAAAAGGTCGAAATAATCATATTCATTGTTTGGGGGGAACTCATTTGCTCTCTGTAATTTATTCTTTCACTGTGCTACAATATTTGCGTTGCTATTATTTTATCCAGGAGTTTTTGCAATAAAATTCATTAGTAAGAACGGTTTGTGCCAGGGCTGGAGCCATAGCACAGTGGGTAGGGCGTTTGCCATGCACGTAGTTGACCTGGATTCGATTCCCAGCATTCCATGTGGTCCCCTGAGCACCGCCAAGGAGAGATTCCTGAGAGCATGAGCCAGGAGTAACCCCTGTGCATCACTGGTGTGACCCAAAAAAGGGGGAAAAAAAAAAAAGAACTGTTGGCTCCTTGTTCTTACTTACGTTATTTAGTTTTAGTATTAACTAGTTTTACTGAAAATACTTTTCTTAGAACTTTTCCTTTAAGATCAGGACATCTCTTTCTTGAATATGGCTGTATCTATTATTTTCTCAGTTGACATTTTGTTTTATGGTTTTTTTTTCAGCATATTCTGCCTGAGTTTTTATTGTTAATATGCATTATAGTTTCTATTCCACTTTATCATTCAGACATTTTAAAATAACTTAATTTACCAACTTGAAGGACCCATTCCATTTCTTGAATTAATTCTTTTTTTAAAAAAAAAAAACCTCAGGGCTGGAGAGATAGCACAGCTGGTAAGGTGTTTGCCTTGCACGTGGCTGACCTGGGTTCGATTCCCAGCATCCCATATGGTCCCCTGAGCACCGCCAGGAGTAACTCCTGAGTGCAGAGCCAGGAGTAACCCCAGTGCATCGCCAGGTGTGATCCAGAAAGCAAAAGCAAAAAAACAAAACAGAAACAACCTTTCATTGAAACAGATATATTCTAACCAGGAAGAAATTTACTCAGAATTATTATTTTTAATTTTTCATTATTGGGCTGGAGAGATACTAAGTGAGTAAGGTGTTTGCCTTTTTCATAGCTTCCCCGTTAGATACCTGGCACCATTTATATTCTCGAAGCCCCGCCAGGAGTGATCCCTGAACACGCGACTAGGAATAAGTCCATGTCACTGCTGGGTACGGTCTGACACCCTCCTCCACCCATTTTTTAATTGTCTTACCATTTGTTATCAGTGTGTCTTCTTTATATTAAAGAATATGTATTATTATGAAAAATGAAGTATGTTAGATTTATTTTTTTGGTCCTTGTATTCATTTGGTTTATTATATGAAATGAAATAGACCTTATATGAAAGGTCATTCTTTTAACGACTTTTAATGACTTTTGACTCCCCCAAATACAGGGAGTTCACAGATGGGTGCTACCATAGTAGATGCTTTGGATACCCTTTATATCATGGGTCTTCATGAAGAATTCCAAGATGGGAAAAAATGGATTAAAGACAACCTTGATTTCAGCGTGGTAAGAATTCCATTGATAATTTCCTTGGTTAAAGATGAAAAGAAACAGTGTCGAACAGTAATATTTTGGAGTATTGTGCTGACGGAGGGAATTATTCTCTTTTAAGGATATTATTTATTTTTCATAAAATGCACACCTTTTCCTATCATCTTCCTTTCACTTTTTTGCTCTTAAAACAATGTGTTAGGCATATTAAGGCATAAGTTAAAGTTTTTTAAAAAAGCATGTTGAATTAGAAGTACAGGGAAGTAATAAACTACTTGAAACAATGTGGATTTTCAAAAAGATAGAATGATTTGGCGCTTTGATAAGTTTTCATAATTAGGCCGTTACTATCATTTCAGCCTTTTTTGCATACGTAAGTGGTATTATTAAGGTTTGAATCTCACCACACTATTATTTTAAGTACTATTTGAGCTAATCTGGTACATATAAATTATTAGTAAGTGGTAGAAATTGTTTTTATTATCACTAGTCTTCATCTGAAAGATGTCAGAGCTGTTCTGTCAATTAATTGTGTTCTTTTACGGTATTTGTGCTTGCTGTTTCTGTAGACTTCAGAATGTATTTTGTCCCTGAGACTAAGTCGCTCAAATTGTAATTTAAATCCATAAATATTTCTTGATGGCTTGCCTTGATGCAAATCTTTCCTTTTATATTATTCTAGCATTTAGATCACATCTCAGTAGGAATTCTTACTATCCTTTAGGTCTAGGTTTGGTGAGTGGCAGAAAATCTTACATAAAATGCAAAAGTAGAAAAAGTTGCTTTTGTATTTTTGTCTTTATATGGAATTGCTTTTTGTATGTTTGGTGAGATAGACAATTATCAATTGAGTTTGCGCTATTTTTCCCCTTATAACTACACATGCCAAATTAGTCATATTATAGTAGTATTAATGTAGTCTGTTGACTGTTTTCATTATCTCTGAATCAATAGTTAGCTGTGTAATGAATAATATTTTTATAAGAAGTTTCATAATTATATCGGAATTTGATAATTGATTTTTATGTTTGAGAATGATCTTACTAATTCTCTGCTTATTTTTTTTAAGCTGTGGGAAACTTGATGTTTTGATGAGTTTTGGCATTAAATTTTTAGATTAATTTGCACAGAATTAGCTGCTTCCGTTCATGATTTAGAAACTTGTGTCTAGTAATTTGCTGGTGTATGCTTTTTATCACTTGACTTCATTAAAAACCAGAGCTGTGCATTTATAGCAACTAGAAAATTATCTCTTTACTATTTTTTTTTATAATTTTATATTTTTTAAGCATCCACCTTTCTTTCACAAATGAGTTGAAAACTTCTAGAAGGAAATATGGAGAGGCACTGTTCAAACTTAAATGATGACTGAGAATCTTCCAAAACTAAAAACTAAATCTTCAGGTTGGTAAAACACCTAGTCCTTATGCTCACTAACCCACCCAAATGGACATGTAATAAAATTACAAAACAGCAAAGCCAAAAAAAGAAAAAAAGACAGTGGCTCCCCTTTTAAATATTACCTTTCAAAAGTTATGCTGCACAGTTTTCCAGAGCACCAGAAAAACAGGATGACAGTATGACAGTGAAACTGTACTTTCAAAAAGTTGAGAAAAATAATCAACTTCTGACATGGTAATCAGCTATATCAGCAAAAGAAAAAAAGAAAGCCTTTTATTCACGTGGCTTTCCTTGAGTTTCACACCGGAAGTGTCACCATAAGAAAGTCTTTTTTCAGTAGCTGCTCCATGTAAAATACTGAGCCCCACCAGTACTTATTCCAATCCTACTTATTCTTTATTGTTTTCTACAGCCGTTTCTGACACTGTAAATAACATGAATATTTACTGTTTTTATCTCAAAGCTAGAAGATCAACTGGAGAGAGAAAATTTTGCTTTTTCTCCCCATCACTGTAATCTGAAATAGTAACTGCTGAAGATAGATAAATGCAAGTAAACACAGGCAGTTATATATTCAAGTTTCCAATAAAGTTAAGATCAACTTGAAAAGAGTTACACATAAAGCGAGGTAAATGAGCTACATTAAGCCATCCTCAGAGCTAAAGTCAGAAAGGGAGCAAGAAAACTCTTCCATTTCAAATTCCGATAAATATGCTAATACTCCAAAATGAATAAAAACGGACACTGTAAATGCCAAACTAGTTGGGAGAAAGATATTAAAAAGTAGGAAAAATTCACGCTATACAAAATAAGATAGAAAAGAACAAGTACAATAACGCACATAGCAAAACTAAGACGGAAGACAACTCCAAATACGTTACCACTGAAAATCCAAATATCTCATACACAGCAGTTAGAGTACCCTGAGACTGAATAAAAGAATAACAAAACCCAGATGCATTACATGCTAAGTAGTACAACTATTTGTGCTTGCTACCTCTGTAGACTTCCGAATGCTTTTTTCTCCCTTAGAGGGCAAGAGAGATAGAACGGTCAGTTGGCTCGTCTTGCTGTAGCTGAACCAAATTCAACTCCCAGCACCTCCAGGAGTGATCCCTGAGCACCACTGGGTGTGGATGGCCCCACCTGCACCACCACCAAAGAACAAAGCAAAATGTGTATGCCTCTCAGAGAGCCTGGCAAACTACTGGGAGTATCCCGCCTGCAGGGACAGAGCCCGGCAAGCTCCCCGTAGCCTATTCGATATGCCCAAACCAGTAACTATAGCAGGTCTCATTCCCTTGAGCCTGAAAGAGCCTCCAGTGACTGGGAAAGACGAGTAAGGAGAGGCTGCTAAAATCTCAAGGCTGGCTTCCCGGACCTTGTCTTCAATGTACCTTATGGATTCAGGTTGGATGTTGAGGTCTTTAATCCACTTTGATCTGACTGTTGTGCATGGTGTTAAGTCGAGTTCTGAGCCCATTCTTTTGCATGTGGTTGTCCAGTTATGCCAGCACCATTTGTTAAAGAGGCTTTCTTTGTTCCACTTCACATTTCTTGCTCCCTTATCAAAGATTAGATGTTCATACATTTGGGGTTGGGCTGGAGTGATATAGCACAGCAGTAGGGCATTTGCCTTGCGCGCAGCCAGCCCAGCGGAGCTGGGTTCGATTCCTCCGCCCCTCTTGGAGAGCCTGGCAAGCTACTTGAGAGTATCTCGCCTGCACGGCAAAGCCTGGCAAGCTACCCGTGACGTATTCTGCAGAAAACTATGCACGCTGAAGGTTTTGTGTTCGCGGGCTCTCTGAACGGCTCTGTCTCACCACCCATTCGGTGCTCTTGAGCTGCTGTGTGTGACCTGGATCAGGACGGCTGTTGGCCAAGGAAGAAACAAGAGCCTGGCCGGTTGTCTTTGTTGCATTTTATTCCAATCCTCTCTCCTTTCACTCCTGTCTCCCATTCTCTCAGGCCTGTGTTCCCCTTGCTAGTCTCTCTGAGGTCTGTCTTGCAGCCCTGCTCTCTCCTCTCTCCAGCTCTGCAGTCAGGGCTGACACTGCACCCAGTCAGGTGGCAAAATCAACATAAGAAAGCCCTTCCTGAGGGCTCACCTAAAGTCCTTCCTGACTGCCCCAGGCAAAATATCTCCTAAGGTGTTTTTCTCCTTTCTTCAGTCCAAGAACTATCAATATCTTTAGTTTTATATGGACACTGTAAGAGATACCATTGAGGTATTTTGTAGGGCAGCTGTCCTGGGAACATCTTGCCACAGACTCAGACTACAGCGCTCAGGCCTGATTAATCACTCCTAACTCTAGCAGGGTCCAAATCTAGTAATTACTTTTTGGATCATGACCGCATTTGTCCATGACCAAGCTCTTAACTTATTGTTTAGCATTATGACGCTTTGGCCAGGCCCATCTCGTTGCCAGGATAGCACATAGCTTACAGCTCGCCCTGGTTCCATCCAGACCCTGCTCTTGGGGATGCTAGGAAGTAAAGGCAGCTGAGGCTTAGGTGAGAGAACTGATGCCCAGGAAGAAAATATCACTGAATCACATTACAAAATTCTTGTGTCCATACAAAAAGGACCTTGCTCTGAATAAACTATGCAAAGGACTTAGGAAGAAGAGAAAAACAATATTTTCAAGTCAGCAGAGCACAAAGAAAGTTACAAATAAACACAGAGAAATGGGAGCACTGTGATGGGAGCAACCCAATAAACCTAAACTACCTGAGACTATGCAGGAAGGACAAAACAGTGTTATCCTACGGTATTCAATATGCCAAACAAGGTAACAACAGGTCTTAAGATGGAGATGTTACTGGGCCTGCTCAAGAAATCGATGAACAACAGGAGGACAGTGACATTTGGGGTTGTGTGTAGGGATATTCTACCCTGTTCCATTGGTCAGCGGCTCTGCCTTTGTTCCAGTACCATGCTGTTTTAATTGTTACCGCTTTTTAGTAGAGTTTGAGGTTGGTAAGGGTGATGCCTCCCATTGTCTTTTTCCCCAAGAATTGCTTAGCTATTCCTGAGCCTTTGTTGTTCCAAATGAATTTTAGGAGTGTTTGATCCATTTCTTTGAAGAATTCCATGGGTATCCTTATGGGGATCACATTGAATCTGTAGAGTGCCTGTGGTTGGTGTATTGCCATTTTGACAATGTTAGTTCTTCCTATCCATGAGCAGGGGATATCTTTCCATTTCCTCATGTCCTCTAATGGTATCTTCAAAGATGACATGCCACTGACCAACCAAGTGGAAACAGAGATAAACAAATGGGGCTATATTAAACTAAGAAGCTTCTGCACTGCAAAAGATACAGTGACCAAAATACAAACACAATCTACATAATAGGAAAGGATATTCACCCAATACCCATCCGATAAGGGGTTAGTATCAAGGATATACAAAGCACTGGTCGAACTCCACAAGAAGAAAACATCCAACCCCCTCAAAAAATGGGGTGATGAAATGAACAGAAACTTTCTCAAAGAAGAAATCCGAATGGGTAAAAGGCACATGACAAAATGCTCTGTACATCACTAATCATCAGGGAGATGCAGATCAAAACAATTAATGAGATATCATCTCATACCACAGAGACTGGCCC